GGGCGTGGTATCCACCTTGTCCGACCCTAGGAGCACGAACTCTGCCTCGCCCGACTCGTCTGACTCCGAGGGCACGGGCCCTGCCTCACCCGACTCCGAGGGCGTAAATTTCGCCTTGCCGGACTCCGACGGTGCGGTCTCGGTCTCGCTCGCTCCCCAGGGCATGAGCTCCATCTCAATCCCAAAGGCACGAAGGTCAACCGCAATACCAAGGTCCGTACCCTGTCATACGCTCTGCTGAAAGGTCCTAAATGGCTAGAGGGGGGTGAATAGCCTAATAAACTTTCTACAACAACACTTAAACAAAGTGGTTAGATAACTAAATGGCGAAATGCGAGTTTTGGGCTAGCACTACAAAAGATGCAAGCCACCTATCCACAAGTCTAGTGAGCTAGTCTTTACTTGTGCACTCAAGAGCTATTGACTAAACAACAACTACTAGAAGAACTAAGCAAGATAGCTAAAGACAACTAGTAAGATAAACTATCACTACACAAGATATATATCAATATAAATACAAAGAGTGATAGAGAGTGTTATACCAACGTGGCAAGTGATCAATCAATAGATATAATGAAAACCTTGAAATGAAGATAACACAAAGATTTTTACCAAGGTTCACTTGCTTGTCGGCAAGCTACGTCCTTGTTGTAACGGTCACTCACTTGGAGGTTCGCACGCTTATAGGCATACAAAAGCCTAACCCACAAAGGGTGCCGCTCAACCAACACAAGATGAAGACACTCAATGTCACGAGCAATGTACTAGAGTGGCTTTTGGCACTTCGCCGGGGAATTAAGCCCGAGAACCCCTCACAAAGAACAATGGGTGTGGCCAAGAACAATCACCAATCTTGCCAACACTCCTCCGCTTCTCCAAGCCATCTAGGTGGCGGCAACCACCAAGAGTAACAAGAGAAAACCACAATGAAACACAACCACCAAGTGCCTCTAGATGCAATCACTCAAGCAATGCACTTGGATCACTCAATCTCACTTCGATTTGCAACAACAAGTAAGGAGATGAGTGGGAGGGAGTTTGCTCAACTCTATAGGATGTTAGCAATGTCAAATTGTCAAGAAGAAGTGTTCCAAGCCGGCCAAACACATATATATAGAGCTCCCCTCCAAAAAGAGTCGTTACCCATATTTTACTGGGCAGACCACGCGTGCACCGGACGCGCTCACCGGACGCGTCCGGTGCAGCGTTCGGTGCTGCAGATGCAGCCACGTGTCACCCTCATTAAACTTCGGCCGTTCGATTCCAACGGTCGGCTCTGTTCTTGTGACCGTTACACTCACACCGGACGTGACTCTCGGAGCACCGGACGCGGAAGCCATGGCGTCCGGTCTAAACACAGAGACGTTTAGAATCAAGTTTTTCACACCGGATGCGTCCGGTCCAGCTGACCGGACGCAGCCAGCATCCGGTGCTCTCACTGTTTCAACACCGAGCCTCTGCGTCACACACATCGGACGCGCCAGGGTCACGTCCGGTCGCTCCTCTACACCAGCGCCCGGTGCAACACAGAGGGCACCCTGAGAGCTTCCCGTCGCACCGGACGCGTCTGGTCACACATGACCGGACTCACCCAGAGTCCGCTAAGCTAGGGTATAGCATCGGATGCGTCTGGTGCCAAGGGGCACCGCGTCCTGTGCTCTCTGTAACACCCTGTCTTTTCTCCGAGACCGCCGGTGGACACTCCGCCGGTGGAGATCCATCTCTAAACACTTCACCCTTGCTCCCAAGTGCTAAACACAATGTGTATCACCCTTGTGCATGTGTGTTAGCATATTTTGCAAAGCATTTTCAAGGATGTTAGCACTCACTAGAATCTAAATGCATATGCAATGAGTTAGAACATCTAGTGGCACTTTGATAACCGCATTTCACAATGAATTTCTCCCCTGTTCATAGTACAGCTATCGATTCTAAACACACTCACACCCTCTATGGTGTCTTGAGTGCCAAAAACAAAATGGCCCTATCAAATATACATTTGCCTTGAGCTCTTTTTGTTTCTCTTTCTTCTTCTCAAGTTGGAGTAGTTGATCACCATGTCCGATCACTCCAAAGTATGGCCGATCACTTCAAGTGTCATACCGACCACCAAAGGTCTTTGGCCAAGCACACATAGTGCCTAGCCAACCACATAGCAACATTGGCCGAGCACACCATTGCCTTGCCGACCACTCCACTTGATCTTGGACCTAACCTTTCTTAGCTACACACACTTAGTAATTAGGTTAGTCCAAATAGGTTTCATCAATTAGCCAAAACCAAACTAGGGCTTTCATCTGCGCATACACTATGTGGCACCGATTTGCAACAGTGTTGTAGGCGCCGTTATCCGCCATACCGAGAGAACACTGTGCGGCACCGACTTGCCACAGTGTTGTAGGCGCCGCTTTCTGCCATACCAGGCGAGCACTGTTCAGGTTGTCTGATGCAGCAGGCCTTGAACAGTGTGGTGGGCAATGGCGAAGCCCCGATTGGTCTCTGTCAGGGGACTCATTGACTGTTTCATCCACTCGGATGGAGTGGAGGACAGGACTCCGGCATAGTGCCATCACCGCCATACTCTACAGGGTCGGCGGGATCCACGTGAAGAGGAGAACGATGCTGCCCCGGAAGCCTTTTTCTCTTTCTTCTTCGCCTTGTTTTTTATCCTTCTGGCTCGGTAAAACTGCTCTCTCCCCTTGGTCTATAAAAGGAGAGGCAGGGCTCCAGTCAAAGGGATGGCTCGATCACACACATCTCACCTCGACAACAAGCACACACTCGACAACCGAGCAGTAAAACACCCCGGACACTCGAACCTCAGAGACTTGGGAGCCTTTTCCTCTCTCGACCGTTTGTAACCCCCTATTACAAATACAGTGCTGGTAACACGAGCAGCCCGAAACTGGACGTAGGGACATTCGGCCCGAACCAGTATAAATCCTCATGTCCTCTTAACACACCATCCGGGCCTAACGCGTAATACACAAATTTACTGGCCGGTGGAATTCGAAACACCGACACATGTGTCACTATAATCATGTGGATACTTACGATAACGTTATAGTAAATCATTTAATAAGAAGTTATTGTAATTTCGTAAATTAGTATAGTAATTATCGTAACTCAGAGTGGCCATAGAATAAGTTACTGTGGCTAGCTACATAACAATATATATATATATATACACACACACGCGGCATTGTTATTCTACACCTTAGGTGTAGAAGAATATTATTCTACACCTAGCAGCCAAAACTGACAAAAAAAAAATACTGATACCCCGAAATACTGAATACTAATGAAACACGACTACTAAATAGTAGTGAATTTTGTTCAGTGTAACAGTTTGGTGTAGAATGCTATTCTACACCTAGGGTCTAGAATAGTACGTGTGTATATATATATATATATATATATATATACGATGTCGATTAATTGAATGGACTGGGAATCGGATAGCATAGATGGATCGACAGAAAGAAATTAAAGAGAGGAGGGACAGGACAGGGACTAGATCGGTGCTTAAGAGTTGAGGGAGGGAGGGGAAGGCGACGAGGTCGTGGTGCGGGTGCGGCTGGATGAGCAGCTCGGGCGAAGGGCGGAGGCAGACGGTGGCAGAGAAATCGGCGTTGGTGAAGGACAGCGCCCTGCCGACGTACACGTCGCTGCGGTTGCCGAGGAGCCCCACCCGCGCGTACGCCTGCCGCTCCAACCCCATCTCCGCCTCCGCTTCCGCCGTCACTGCCATCTCTTCTCTTCTCTCAAAAGTAGAGCTGATTGTGGTGGTGGGCTGGTGTTGGACGTTTTAGCCAGCGCTAATTTCTCATTTTTTCCTTTTCTACGGAGAGTACAAATCGCTGGAGTAGGCCCGTTAAAAACACTGTTTTTGCTGTTTTGTGTGAAAGAAAAATATTGTTATATGCTAAAAAGTAGAGCTGATTTAGAAAAACACTGTTATATGACTCTGGCTGATAAGCTTAAACGAGCATACCCAAAGCCTTTGATTTGATTAAAAAATCTGTTTGCGCAGTGCTGCGACCGTTTGGCTCAACAAGAACGTGGACTCTGCTTGGCACCACCTTCTATTCCTAACGCTGCAAACGCTCTAACAAAGCCTCAGTAAGGGATTAACCGAACAATCCTTTTGGTGCAGGAGAATCTCTTAAAAGTATTTACTGTTCCCAGACATTTTATGCGACATCATAGAAGAAAACGGGGCACCAACCATTCAAGTAGGTTCATAATTTTAGTAGCGAATACTAAGGATGGCAACGGATCGGGTTTGAGGCGGATATCCGCGGGTTTCGGGTTCTGCGGGTTCGGGTTTGGGGATGGTTTTTCGGATCGGGTTTGGGGCAGATATCCGCGGGTTTCGGGTTCTGCGGGTTCGGGTTTGGGGATGGTTTTCACCCACGGTTTTCAGGTTCGGGGCCCCGAAACCAATCGGGTTCGGTTTCGGGTTTGGTTTTCCACCCGTGGATATCCAATGGATATCCGAAATAAATTATTTGGAATTAAAACTCATGTTTTATAATATACTAATAATAATTTGTTTACTTAGATTATTAAATTTATTTAAAGTTAACTCATGAAAATATTTATTATTTGTTGCCTCTTGTTTATGCATGTGAATATGTGTATATATATCCACGGGTTTCGGGTATCCATTCGGGTTTCGAGTATCTGTTCGGGTATCCGCGGGTTTGGTTTTGGTGATGGATTTCCACCCGAATCGGTTTTCGGGGCGGATTCAGGTTTTGATTTCGGGTTTCGGTTTTGGGTGCACGGAGACTCCACCCGATCCGAACCCGACCCGTTGCCATCCTTAGCGAATACATGATACAAGCACAGAAGAATTATCTCCTCCCAAAATTATTACAGGCCAATAGAAATATCTCAAAAGCGATGTAACGCAGTATCACACCTTGACAGCTATGATGTATATTATTGAAACACATAGCTTCTTAGAACATAATGCAACACTGAAGCTTAAATTTTCAGTCTTTATGCTGCACTTGGCTCCCGTCATCAGCTTGCTGCAATTGGCTCATCAAACATCCTAAGCTGCCACCTGATGCTGCATCCAAAGAAATAGCACAAACCCATGATGGCCACAACAAATCAATCAACATTCGTTTTAGAGAAAGCAACCAGCAATTTGATACATTGATGACATCATACAAAGCTTCCATCAATATGGTTATTATGAACTCAACAATCCCAATAGGACTTGTCATAATTTTCACTATTAACAATATCAATGTTACTTAAGCTATTAACCTCAATTTCAATAACTATCATGTTAGCCGAGCCATTGACTTGGTGTAGCCACGCTTCCTCCTACTAAGATATGAATTACAAACGAGTGTTCTCAACTGTCATGTACCAATTTAAGACCCTATGAATCATGCATCGACCTACCACCAATACACTAACACCACCATTCAGGGAACTGGTAGTCATGTAAAAATTGTGTAACAATCGTAAAGTGCATCAGATAAAAGGGTAAAAGCAACTGAGGAAATAAAAAAAGAGCTTTACAGAATAAATAGGCAATGCACTACATCTAACAGAAAACAGGTTTACATGGTTCTTTCCAAGTATCAAGTCCACTAACAACAACAACAACAGCAAAGCCTTTTAAGTCCCAAACAAGTTGGGGTAGGCTAGAGTTGAAACCCAGCAGAAGCAATCAAGGTTCAGCCACGTGATGTTTATAAAAAGTCCACTAAATGTTTATAAAAAGGAAAAGGCATAATGAACAGCTACAAATGAAATATGCAGTATCTGTGTTTATAAAAGGAAAACAGTACTTCTATATGTAGGTAGTAGGTACTAGGACCTTAACCAGATGCGACAAGAAGAAAATGTTGTGCTGCGGCAACTACAAATCAGTACTTGTAACATGTAACATGCCAATATAAAGCAATGATTGAGATTGGTTCATATTCTTATAATATCTATAGGTGCATTCTTGAGTGCATAGACTAAACAAATCCAAGGTTAGATTTACAGCCAACTGCAAGCCGGCACCCTGTAGTTGATGGGCATTCCACTTTTCAGGCACAGATTGCAAATGAACACTTATACAATCAGTTGCACCTTGAACACACAATTGAACCATATGCTTAGGAATTTTGTGCTAAAGTCTAAAAAATTACCTGGTGTTGCCCGAGCATTGATATAACTGGATATACTACTAGGGCAATATTCATGGGACAGGACCAAGTTTCTGTCAGTGCTGAACTCAGCCAGTGACTGTATTCTTTTGCCCTTAATGTCAACAGCAAGAACCCATGCCCTGGATTGCATGAACTTCACCTTCGTCAGCAAGTAAACAACACCATTATTATCCAGGCTGAGAACAGGTTGACATGTGTGGAGGTTTTCGAGTTTCCGCCCTCTTCCTTCTTGTTTTACATTGAGCAATCCAGATTGCAGCAATTGCCACTGCATTCCTTCGTCGATATCGATGTGAGAAGCCTTGGCTGTGCAGTCCAACTGCCAATCCTCCCAAGCACCACTGATCTTCCTGTTTGTATATGTGGAGAGCTCCCAGTCTCGGATTCTAAAGTTAATATGCCCAGTTTCAGGGTCAAGCATTGGAGGGCCATCAAATTGAACTTCCATTTCAACCATCCTGAGGCAACCTTGAACAACAGCAATGCCCCGATATGGCTTGGGGCAGCCTTCAATCCCCTTCCCGTGATTGACCAAGGAACGTGGCAGTGGCAGGGGTACTCCACGGAGTGTGGGGCTGCTGCTGAGCACATCACAGAACAAGATTCCACGCCAGAGATCGACCCAGCCCATGGTGCCACCTTCACCTCCGAGGGTGATAACCGTGGTTGTAATATGCTCGTTAAGCCTAAAAGCTTTCCGGGGGATCTCGATCGGGAACGCTCTCTGAGGTGTCACTATTGGCACCTTGCTGAAAGTGGTCCAGGCCCACGATTCAGACTTGAACAAGTGAAGATCGAACCCGTGCATATCAAGGGACAGCACAGCGATGGTGAAGTGCTCACCGCGAGGAAGGAGGCCAACTTCGTCGTCATGGAAGGGGCGGGGCTTGGGGAGCAGCCGAAGCGACGGGCGTTCAGCCCGGTAGATGAAGTAGTCGCCCATCTCCCGCGACCTGATGGTTGGGCAACTGATGCGGACGCGGAGGAGGAGGAAGCGGTCCGCAGAGGAAACGATACGGGCATCCTCCAAAAGGAGGTTAGGGCCCAGATCGGGGAAGTGCACGAACAGGCGGGAGGGGGCCGGCGGGTCATCGGGCCAGATGGAAACCTTGATGGACTTGTTGTTACTCGTGAAGTGTTCTGCAGTGGTGCCGTTGGGGCAATCGCCGATGTAGGCACCGGCGTCGAAGAGGATCCAGGGCCGACGAGAGGATGCCGATGGATTTGGTTGTTGGTCGGCAGCGGTAGTGATGGTAGCCATGGAAATTTTTGGATCCAGAAACAAGAGAAGTCGGGGGTGTTGCTTACGAAGGAAGAAGAAGCGGCGCCGGTCTCATCAGAGGATATACTTGGCGGAGGCCATCGGACTGGAGCTCGGTGGGTTGGGCGTAGTTGGATCGGAGGAAGAGGAGGCGACGGGGAGCTCGGTGGGTTGGGTGTAGTTGGATCGGAGGGAGACGACGGCGCCTCCTTTTATCAGGCAACGAGGTCCGTGAGAAGAAGTCCCACGGCAAAACCCTAGTAACTAGTAGCCCACCTTCGTAAACTGGCCCGATGGACCGAGAAAGGAAGTCTGAAACGGCCCAAAAGATCTGACAAAATCCTATTAGCCTTTTATAAGCCTGTTTGGAGTCTCAGGATCTAGCCCAGTTCTACAATTTTGATTTGACAGCCTGAATAAAGCTGTTTATAAAAAAAAATAGTTTGGTGCAGTGGTACAAAACAAGGTATCCTGGTTGGGTGGTCCCATTACAATTTCTATGGTCGGTGGTTCTAAGAAACACCACTGTAATTACGTATTGTGAGTTGTCATTATAATTCTAGTGTTTTTTGAAATATGCCACTCTATGTCTAACACCGCCTTAGGCCTAATAGCTGCAGAGCAACAGATATATGGTATTTATGGACCATGATGCTCCTTTCTTCTTCTTCCTCTCTCCTCTTGCTTGCTGTCTGGTCATTGGTGAGCTTGCATGCTCCAACCACCACGTCGACCATCACCACCACCTCTTCAACCATAGCGTACATGGCCTCCGATGACGATGCTCTTTGCTCCTCATTGATGAGGACATCCCCTTTTGATACACACAAGACTCCTCAAGTAGTTATGCTAGAGCTTGATTCCCTCGAGCACGCCAATGATGAGCACATCACTCATTTAGATACAGACAACAATCCTCAAGTTGTTATACGAGTGATAATCATTAGAGCTCGAGCATAACAATTAATTGTCCGGGTGAGTTCCTTCCTAAGTACTCCTTTTTCGATTATAAGAGGGAACATCTATCTAATTATATTATTATTCTTAGTAACTTTGGAGATAACATGGAAGTACATGGACAGAGGTATGACAGTGGAGAAGATAAGCGTGGGAGTTCAAGCTAAGTTGGAGGTCCAATCCATATCAAGTTTGAGTCTACCTCGAACTCCAGAAGCAGCCCACAATAAAATTATTGCTTAAATCCCATAAGGACTCCGTTATGCCACTATAATTTTCACAATAAGTTCTAAGAAAAACTACTACAATTCACCTATTTAGAGTTATGCCATTACAATTCTAGCACTCCTTGAAATACACCACGCTCCCCTAAGCCTAGTCGCAGAGCGGCAAATAGTGAAGTAATTATCATACTTAAGGGATCGTGAACACAGTGTCTAATAATTCAAGGGGGAAATCTTAAATGCTCTTACAAAAAGTCATGCCATTGTTTTTTAAGTAAAATGGCTTGAGCTATCCCACCGCTAGGGGGCAACGGCTAGTTCAGCCCTCAATGGCCAATTTAAAAAACCCCAAACTTATACTCTGATGGTCACACTAATAATCCGATGCACACATCATTGGAACATTCCGATGCAATCCAATAAGATCCAAAAACGTGTTTTTGGCCATCAGATTATGCCGATGCTATGATGCCTAACCCTTCAGACGTGGTCTGCCCTAGTGGTCCCACCACCAGGGGTGGCGGTCCTATCGCCAGGAGTAGGTGATGTGGCCTTCGAGTGAAGCAGCACAACTTATACTATGATGCCTATGAAACACGTGGCATCGGATTATAAGCTCGCGAAAGTTTGAACTAGGGGCCTTCCTGTGCACGGCTGCTGAAACGATCCACATTTTCCTCGAAGGAAAATCCACAGAACAAATCCACAATGTGATAGTCCCAGCAGATCATTCCATCACATTATCGAAATTCTGTTGATATCATAGTTCATACATAGCGAAAACCTGTCTTAGTATGGTACAAATAGAGAGGTTTACCCATAATTATTACATCGTAACCTGGCGGAATCACACTCACACACACAAACAAAACAGCATCAAAGTAGTCATAGCACCTCAATGGGTGAAGACTCCATCTCCAAAGGCAAACTCGAGCGTAAGACAAGACCTTCTAATCCTCGCATCCATCAGCGGTGAAGTCGTACTCGGGCTCATCACCTGCTAAATAATTTTCAGTATGATTTTGTTTACACCAGAATTTGGAAAGGAATCGTGAAGATCATGACGTCACTAGCATTGACTTGAACATGACAGAATTAGACTTTGCTAGAAAGGAAATCATGGATTCCTAAATGTAAAGTAGATTAGTTTCTTTTACTCAGAATTCATCTAGTCGTGTCCGTTTAGGACTCTATATCGGTCCAGGGTATAAATATAAACTCCGGCTATTGTAATAGACATCTCTCGATCAATACAACTCTTTTTTAGCTTTCACGCCATCGCATTAGGAGTAGGAGTAACATAGTTTTCGGTGAGTTCTTCGGTAAGCAGGGCTGCATCGATTTCGATCTCTGGTTTGCTTGTAAGTACCATCTTATCGACTCGTATCTTATCTTGTAAGGTTGCATCATTTGATCTCTTGCTAGATTTGATGTTAATCAAAGTTATCGATTCTATTACGTCTTGTAAGGCTGCATCTTATGACCTCTTGCTAGATTTAGTAGAATCACTAGTTATCCAGCTAAGATTAAGGTACATCAGATTATATCATATAAATCTGTCGTCTTATCAATTCATCACGTTTATCTCTTTTAAGACGTCAGATCGTTTATATCGGCTGGTTGTATCTTAATCCTAGTTTTACATAGTGTATTTTTAATATCTCGTTTGACTATAAATAGACCTATCAGCTTAAGAACTCTAATTTATCGCCCTACTGCCAACGCTGCATCGGTCCAATCTGATTGGTGGTGATGCTAGATTACACTTTGCAAGTTTATGGATTTCTTTGTAGGGAAACAAGGGATTGATTATACTATATAAATGTTATCGACTTTGTAGCCGATGGCCTATGCTATCATGTTCTGTTTTATGCCACAAGACACATCTATCGGCTTCTTAGCCGATATCTTCACTTTGTTTACATATGGATACATGCTGACATCATCCGATCACCAGCCGATGGCACTTGTTTAATCTGCCTATTTTATGCAATCACTGGGTATCGGCTTTATAGCCGATGACTTGCCGCACTCCATCGGCTTCCTAGCCAATGGTCTTATGGAACTGCCGAATCACTAGCTGACATGTTTTAGCTTAAGCTACTGATTATCTTTTCCCTTGTCAATTATAGGTCAAATTGCCTGGCATGCCCGAACTCCCCAAAATCGACAAGACTTGCACTGGAGCTAAGTAGACCTCCCAGGCCTGTCATATGTCTGGTGCGTTAACCGCATTTTCGCGTCGACACATTTTCTTGGCACGCCCGGTGGGACACAATTGTCAAGATGTCAGATGAACCAGCAGTCAATGTGACATTCGATGAGTTGACTCAAGAACAAAAAGACATTATAGAAAAATCAACATAAGAGTTCAGAATTAAATGTCTGGAGTCCTTTAGCAAGACTCGACACAAAGTAATTCAGAAAACTCCATTGCCAAAGGTTCTTGCTGTGGGAGAAGTTGATAAAGATAAAGATATAGAGAGTGACAGGTAGATGTTCCAGGAGGCTATTCATTAAGCTGTCCATCATGCACTGATCAATCAATCAGGGGTTTTCATGAACACAATCAGGAATGTGATAAGGGATACAATGAGCGGTTCCTTGATGCCTGAGCAGACAATAGGACCCGTATATTTCAACACAAATCCATCGCCCATTGGGACAAGCAACAGGCGAATGGAAATACCAGATGCGTCCAGTGCTCCAAAACCAGTACCAGTACAACAGACTACAGCGCAGACATCACCATTGCCTTCATCATCTCAACCAGCTGTGTTTCTTGTTCAACAGAAAGCGCCATCAGTCCAACAGATTGCCAGAGATTATGGTGAGGTATATTTCAGAAGTCAAAGGTCGTACGCTCAAAATACTTATCATGATGAAATTCCACCAGGATATCATGATGTTTCAATTTTTGGTGGTAATTATGTTCAATATCGGGGATATCAGAACTCCCCAAGGAATAATTATGTCCCTAAACAAGCCCCTAATTGTTACATGCATGCAGCAAGTGCCAATACAGATGATATAGTGAACAAAATAGCTGATATGATTCAGAATCAATTCGGCTTGAAGCCCAAAGAACAACCTTACTTGTTTCGACGCCCATATCCAGAATGGTTTGATCGTGTGGCACTACCGGCTTGCTACAGAGTTCCAAAATTTTCTAAGCTTTCTGGTCAAGATGATGTATCAACAATTGAGCATATCGGCCGATTTCTTGCACAATGTGATGAAGCTGCATGTGAAGAAGCATTAAGGGTTCGATTCTTTCTATTGTCTTTGTATGGATCAGCCTTCACTTGGTTTGCATCATTGCCACCTAACTCTATTCAAGGTTGGGCCAATCTGGAAAAGCAGTTTCAAAATATTTCTTTGCTGGAGTATATGAGATGAGGTTGACAAATTTGATAGCATTGAGGCAAAGAAATGATGAATCGGTTCCTGATTATATTCAAAGATTCCATGATGTAAGGAGCCAATGTTATCGTGTATCCCTGTCTGATAGTCAACTTGATGGATTGGTGTAAGGATCAAAGCTAAGCCAAGAGGGGGGTGAATAGGCCTGTTTAAAATCAACTCAAACATATGTTGGATGCCTGTGCAGCACTGTTGCTATGAGAGCAGCACTACAGCTCCTCGGCACTACTGCTCTGAACGCGACCCTGCCGGTCCACCTAACAAGCTCGAAATCACAATTCAAAATCTACCCAAGGGAAAATGGATCGAGGAATTTACTGAGCTTCCTGGGGTAGAGATGAGCCTATTCCACCACATGGATGTTGGTAGAAGTGCACGAACAAGTAGATCGGGGCC